GAGCTTTCCACAGGGAATGATACTTGTTTTCCCATTTGCTTCCCATTGTCTCCACAACCCAAGTCAGGAACTCACAACCACCACCTTCCAAAACCTCTCAGCCAACCCCTATCACAGCAGTTGCCACTTGATCAGAGTTGACGCAACTGCTGTTAAATATTGGTGGGGAAATTGACTAGCATGGGTGGCGGAGCTCTGCAGACGTAGCTGCTCAGGAAAGATCCCCTGGTGTGGGAGGGATGACAGGAACAGAACTCAACAAGCTATTCTTTGGACTCTTCCTCACCACTGCTGCTGGAAAATGCTTATCATTCCTGGTTTCTCAATCCTCTTGCTCTTATAGCCTCTTAACAGGTCAGACCCACATTGCCCAGTCAAGGTATCCCTATAGTTTACATCCTTGAAAAGGGATGTCAAGGAAATTCGGATTTCCGCAATAGTCTGCACTGATCACTGTGCTTCGGGTGGGTTAAGTGCTCCCCCAGAGGAGTCTCGTAAGGCTCACCTTGGTCAACTCTCTCTGAGTGCTGAGCTTTTTTCAGGATGACAATTTTACAAAATTCAGGCCGCACAGGCTCAAGTCACGGTGGAGACACGGCGACGATGTGGCAGCCTGGCAGAGACACGGCCAGGTCACAGGAGGATGCTCCAGAAAGCCGTTCACATTCAAACAGGGAACCACCATGAGAGTAATAAGAGCATGGAAGCAGCACCCTGTGACCCAAGTCACAGAGATATGTTGTTAAGTAAACAAGAACAGCACCTCATTTTGTGGCTGAGTTTCCTGTCATAAGTTATCACAACTGTAATGGCTTAAAGTAACACGAATTCATTCTCTTACAATTCTGGAGGCAAACGATCTGAGATTAGTTTCAATAGGTTAAAATAGAAGTGTAGGCAGGCTGCTTCCTTAAAGAGGCAGGGAGGGAAGGATCAGCTTCTCTGACGTTGCAGTTTCTAGTGCTCACCTGCATTCCTTGGGATGTGGCTCCTTTCTCCATTTTCAGGGAGCCTCCCTTTAATCTGCTTCCATCATCACATCTCTTTCTCCAACACTCCTCCCATAAAGACTATGTGATTCTATCAGAAAGTCCAGGATAATTTCCCCATCCTTAACTTAATCACATCTGTCGAGTCACTTTGTCATATAAAGTAACATTCACAGCTTCTGGATATTAGGACTCATGTATGTTGTAGGGGAAGACATTATTCAGTCTAAATCCACTTGGAATTAACAGCTAGGATTTAAAAGGGAGTCAGGTGTTCGTAGCTTCAAATGGAAATAAATAATTTTCAAGGTTAAAACCCTAATGGAGGGGAAAATGAGGAGCTGATACCAAGGGCGCACGTAGAAAGCAAATGTTTTGAGAATGATGATGGCAACAAATGTACAAATGTGCTTGACACAATGGATGTATGTATGGATTGTGATACGAGTTACACGAGCCCCCAATAAAATGATTAAAAAAACAACAACTAATGGAAAGTCCGAAACAGCCTGAATTTGCTTGGAGAGCTTGCACTCCTTTGCTTGGACAGGTAAAGGGGGCATGGTGCCTGCACCCATGAAGTGCAGGCTGTGGGGCGAAGTCTCATAGGCTCCAACAGTAACAACAACAGACATTTTTTTCAGCAAACACCAACTGAGGGCCTGATCTTTGCCAAGCTGGAGATTTAGAGATAGCAGCCATGTGTTCACAGTTTATTTTGAGCAAAAGACAAAAACTAGTAAAAGATGAGCCCAAACCTGAGCTGCATATTAGCACGTGAGGGGCAGCCATAGAGTATGCAGGGATGCTGAGAAAGGGGGCTGTTGCCTTCTCAAATTGGGTGGGAGCCTAGGGAAATAGCTATATTCTACCTTGCTCTAAAGATTAATAAAGATTTGCTACTTACCCCTCTGGTAACACTGAGAAACAAGGCAGGGCAAATGAGAAGGGAAAAAGGCAGTTAGAAGCAAACTACTAAGAAAGACTCGGGAGAAAGTAAGACACTTCTGGATTCCTAAGCCAAAAAATAAAAGCTCAGAGAAAAGTCATGCATTCATTCATTCTTGTAATCAATATTTATTGAGCAGTCACCAATTGCTAGGCATTGTCCTGATAGGGGGCACTGTGGGCTAAGCATTGGGCTGCTAGCCACAAGGCTGGTGGTTCAAATCCACCACCTGCTTAAAAGGAGAAAAGTGAGACTTGGAAATCCCAAGGAGCAGTTCCATTCTGTTCTACAGACTCACTGACTAGATAGTGGTGGGTTTGATTATTTTTTTTCTTTTGATCTTGATACAGTTGTGTTAGACAGGGTTCTCTAGAGAGATAAAACCAAATTGCTGATAATTTGTTTATTTATAAAGATAATTAGATATATAACAAGAAACAAACTGTTAAATCATATACAGATTAAATATATAATACAAGAAATAAACAGTTAAATTATAAAGCACTACAAATGGCTCAGTGCAACTCACTCCCGTGAGAGAGAGTTGTGAGAGACTAGCAGTCCTTCAAGTCTAGTCTGCTGCCAGATTTTCCTCTATTTATAGAAAGAGCTAGGCTATGTCAGCACGGCAGCCAATCACAAGGCAGGTCACAAACTGTCAGCCAGGTCACCAACCGCCAGTCCCCAGCTCCAGAGATGTCTTAAAGGGACCTCAACTTACAGCGACACATTCCACAGGCTAGGCGTTCCCACAGGTAGTGTAGCCTTTAAATTGAGGCACAGAACAAGCAAGGCAGGCCGCACACTGATCTGATCATCAAAGAGCAAGAGACAAGAAAGACAAGGTTCACCAAGCCATTTATCTCTCTGCCCTTCAGATAATCCCACTTGTGTTTATCGGCCAGGCTGGCACAATAAACTATCTCACAGTAGAAGTTAAAACTGCTAAAATAAGTCCTGTGCTTATAGGACTTACATTCTAATGGAGAGAGACGGGTAGTAAACAAATAGGGAACATGTGTAGTATGTCATTTGGTGACATGGTTTAGGGGTATAACTTAAGCATAGAAAGGGAACAAAAGGGACTGTCCCTCTCCCTTTTATCTAACACATACTGGGAAGTGTACTAAATGCTATAGGGCAGACACTAACTCATTCATTCACTCATTAAATATTTTTTAATACTATGTGATAGTCACTTGATAAATAACAGGAACAGAATCCTGCCATCATGAAACTTCAAAAGTAGTGTGAGTGTCAGTCACTAAATCATCAAATATTCCAGATGTGTAATTACAAATTGAAGTAAAAGCTACGACTAGAATGTAAAGTGTGCATGTAATTAAAATTGGGGAATTGGAGAGGGCATCTCTAAGGAACTGATATTTGAGTTAAGCCCTGAAGACTGGGTCTGAGAGAAAGAGGTGTTTGTTAGGAACGATTATAATGAGCACAGTAGCAATGGTTCAGGGCTAGGCAACTAGAAGGATGTGAGAGACTACGGACATAGAAACAGACTTGTCAACGCCAAAGGTGGATTTATTATAGGCCAGCGTCCAGGCATGGACAATTCAAAAAATACTACTGAAACACATTGTCCATATATAAAAATGTTAAATTGAATCCTTGCCTCATTTCTTTCTCTCTTACACACATACACACCCCGGTTCCAGGTGGCTGAAAGGGTTACACCTGGCAGGAAAAACCACAAATCTTGACGACAGGCAAGATGCAAAACAGAAATGGCCATAAAGCCAAAAGAAAGACTGACAAATCTAACTGCATTAAAATGACAAATTTCTATTTATCAAAAGATGTCACCAAAACCAACCCAAGAAAGGCAAGAAAAGAAGGAAAGGAGGGTGGGCGACCCGAGGAAGGAAAGGAAGTGACAAACTGAGAGGAAAGAGGGGTGGCATCTACAGTCCGTTGGAAAGACCCTTAAACATCGGTAGGAAACATCCACAAGGAAAATGGGCAAATAACCCTGAACAGGTTTTGTTTCGTTTTCAGGAAAAGAAACATAGGAACGACGCTTCTCCTCTTAGGGCTGTTTGTAAAGCAAACTGAGTTCAAAGCCCATGGTGAAAGCACCCGCCGCTCCGCGGAGAGACGCGGAGGTCCCACGACCGCAATGGCCGTGAATTTGAGGTTGGGTCGCGAAGGTCACAGAGGAAGACGTTGGGGAAAGGCCTGCCACGCCCGTGCTAGGGGTGGTGCGAGGCGGGGGTCCTCCTCCCAGGCCTGCGAGGAGGGGGCTGGCCCTCGGAGAACCGGGGTGGGGGAGGGGCCCCCCAAGGTTCTGACGTGCCTGGGAAGAACCCCGCTAACCGCCTCCCATGGGGCCAGGGGGTCGGTACTTGTCATCCTTTCGCCCCCCAATTGTGAGTGGCAGACAGAATGAATGCGTGAATGTCTTTAACGAGACCTCCCCGCCGCACCCCCAAGCCCCGGGCCCCAGGCCGAGCAGGCCCAGACGGGAGTCCTTACCTGTGTCCTCTGGGCTGGTCGCCGCCGCCAGGCCTCGCTGGGGGCACCTGGTCGCTCGGAGACCCGTCCTTCCCTCCCTCCTTCCTCCCACGTCGCCACCCTCGAAAGGAGCGAGGGCACGGGCCGCGGCACGGCTGCCTGAGGGGACCGGCGGGAGCAGGGTGGACGGGCCCCGGAGTAAATCAGGGATGTTTCACCAGGGACTCAAAGGGCCTAGCTCCCCGACGGGCTCCCCCGAAGCCGAGGACGCCCCAGAATTCAGCGCGGCGTGAGGCCGGC